AGAACCTCTTTTCCAACTAAAATGAATGCCCTCCCTCCAAACAATGCATTGGAGCAGCCAGGGGGGATGTTTTGCTGGAGGAGAGGAAACTGTTCAGCCAACCCAGTGGTCTGCCTGGCTGGGAATCCACATCATAAGGCACTCAAGGATGTTCCATCACCATCTCCCCCCTCTTCTCTGCCGTGTCTTCTCCCCAGGGGATCGGCTCACCTAAAGGGTCTCCTCGGACAGCAAGTTAATAGAAACTCTCTCAGCAAGTTCGACAGAAACGGGGTGTTTGTGCTTCTGCTTTCCAAGGCTTGAGAGCAAAAAGGGGCCCATTAAATGCAAGTGTAATGAGTGCAGCCATATCAGGGATGGGGCGTCAGAGTGACTGCACACCTCACTCCCGGCGCGCTGCAACAACCTCCCTGAATGAGAAAGGGGAAAGCCAGCCCAGCTCCAGAGCCAAAGCTGAAAACTGGGAGAGTCAGCAGGGTGGGAAGCTCATCCGGGGAGACAGATGCATGAGTCAAAACCACCAACCCAGTCCCTTTGCTACGAATTCAGATGCTTCTAACCTGCACTTGGAACACAAACCACGCCCCTAGGGAAGGTTGCATCCATGCAACACTTCATTTTGCTTTCAATTTTCAGAGAGAACACCTGGTAAAGATCAGAGGTCGTATTAAATGCATAGGCTGCCTGCTTCCACAAACCCTGTATGTGCCTCCTCCTCTCCCCCCAAAGAGGAGGGTGAAAATAATCATTAGCAGCCCCTCCTCCCCTTGCTTCCATCCTAACCCATCTCAGACCTTTTACCTAAAAAAGGAGGCACAGAGGTGGAACAATCTCCTCTCATTTAAAAAAGGGGAGTGACTTCAGGCATTCGCACTGTCCTTGCTACACAGAAATGCTCAACTTAGCTACAGGTCAGGGGGACTGTAGGTAGTAGTCATGTACCCTTCCCCACCAGGAATGCTGTATCTTCGACCTGGAGGCATCTCCTCTGAGAACAAGTTTTGTTTCCAAGGACCATTTAATCTTTGGCGTCTCCACTGAGCTAGCCAACAAAGAGGCCAAATCATGCCAAATGCAGCGGTGGTTTCTCAAAAGTGACCTTCTGATGAAGTGCTCCCCACACACCCGTTTGCTTAGGCATTTCCGACACTGACTCCCAACACCGTGCCAGCTTTCCTAACCAGGTCTAGATCATTGGGACAGTTACTCATTTAGCTACACTCTGTTTAGTGAAGTTACACAAACTGTGCACGCTTGCTAGACTGAATCCCCTTGGAGCAAAGAGGTGGCCAGCTCCACACCAGGCTTCAGAAAAGGGGAAAACACACATGGAGGAAGCCCGACACTGTCTGCTTTACACGCCCACAAGTCAAACTAGTAGGCGGTCCCAAGGCAAGGGAAATTGGCCCCCCTTGCCAGCTAGTTGCATCAGTGGCATTAGCTCTGGTCAAGGGACCATGGCTTGGATGACAGCACATCACACAGCAGCTGCAGAAGGAAAAGGTAAGATTTGGCTCTGAGGAAAGCCTCAAATGCCTGCACTGTGGAAAGCTGGGTACGGCCAAGGTGTTACACTTTGGCTGGGTGAAAGAGACCCGGTCACTGCATCAGAGGCCCAACACTCACTAATTTAAAGTGACCTTTCAGCTTCAGGGGCAGGCTTGCAGCTTTGTGCTGGATGTGGAATTTGCAAACTAGGGAATTGGGGGATGGGGTGGGGGGAGGCATAGTGACCTAAAACATAAGGCTGGAAGACAGCTCCACGGCTTCCACCTGAAACTGGCTCAGATTCCTGGCTCGGGAGGGCCTGGCAGGAAGCTGGGTGGTGAAGAAAGACTGCCCACTTGCACGGAGCTTCTTGGCAGTGAGGGAGAGCCTGAGTGCAGACACTGCTGCAATGTAAAACTAGGAAGTGTGCTGGCAGGGCCTGCATTTCCCAAGTGACAAGCCCTTTGGCTGAGGGAGCCTGACAGGGAGAAAATCTGGGCAGTAAATCCTTCAGCAATGAGAAACTCACTGGCTGAGCTGCTCCACCTCAGGGCAGGCCTCTGTGAGGGAGCAGAGTCCTTGAGTGGTCTTTGGTTTATGAGGCCACGTGACTACCTGCAGGGTAGGCAAGAGGAGAGGAGCTCTCTGATTGGCGGCAGCAGAGCTAAAGCTCGAGATGAGCTCATGCCCTCCAGAACCAAGGGAGGGGGGGTGCTTGCCCCAGGGAGGACTCACACATCCAGAGGTAGTAAAGGCGCTTGGCCAAGGTGCGGTGCTGCGGTGGAATGTCATCCTCAAAATCCTGGTAGAAACATGGCTTCAAGGGGATGAATCTTGGGAGCGGTGGGAAATTGTTCACCTTCTCTGTGACAAGAGAAAAAACGAATCGCTGAACAGAGCCCAGCATAAGTCTCTCTTCCTCAAATTGATCCACCGCTGACTGGCTAAAGCACTGACCTAACCCAAGCAGAGACCTTGGAAGTGGGATAGTGGGATAGTGGGGTTACAGGTTTGTGTCTCACCGATTTCCAGCTCAGATTTGCTCAGTTTATATGTTAAAAAAATTATTTCCTCTCATTGCAACTCAGCCTGGTCTCTGGCAGTCTAGCTGGGCTCTTTCATTTTCACACACAACCACCAGGAATGAAGAGCCCGCAGGCCAAATTAACCCTTTGTGTCACAAACCCAGGGAAGGTTAACTGGGTAGCAAAGGCCAATATGTCACCCACATTAAAGCATAGAGCCCTTTGAGAGAAAAACCAGTTCTACGAGATCCAGCAAGGATTTTTTTCCTTACCCGCCATGGTGTCTGTCTGTTTCTACTCCACAGCTAAGTCTGAGGACAGCTTGCACCTCTGCCAAAACTGAAAGAAAACAAGAGATAGTAATCACATTAAAGACACACACGTGGGGAAACAACGTTTCTTCTATGTTCAACCATTTCCTAGCATTTACTCTGTTACTAGAAGTGTAAATTTTCTAACACCATAATCCCTTCCCCCCAATCCTACATACACACAGATTCCTGCCTGGGGAAATTCAGGTAGCCTCTTGGCATTTCTCCAGTGCATATCTTTCCTAAATTAAAGGAGTAAATCAAATCCCTTCCTGACTCCTCATCCCTAACTCGCCAAGCCCAACAACCAAAAAGACAGCTGATTGCACTGCAACATTTAGTGGGACGATCCTGAGACAGAAGGATCCCAGTTCTCTTCAATCAGCATAAAAATCATCCCTTGTACAGCAAATCACCTCTTTTACACACCCGGAGATAACTGGCCCCCAAGGAGAGTGCTATAAATAAGGCGTGGTTGCATTTCTCTTTTGTATTATTCACACGCACCCCAGTACATATACGTACACTCAGATCTACGGTCCACACCTGGTAAAGATAAGCATGTGTTCCAACTAAAGCACTGCCTGCAGCCAGAAGAGGAAAAGAAGATTCAGCAATGTGGGGCAGGGAGAGGCTTAGTGTCTAGTACCTACTCAAGTGACCTACATCCACCGGCAGTTTATTCCAAGGAGAGAAGACCAAGCCAGAGAGCAGGCCAGAGACACATTCAAACCATTGACCTACTGCATGCTAGTCCATGGAAGGGAATGCAAAGTCCCAGAACAGCCAGCTCAGTTACACAGCAATCACCAGGCTGGGTTTGTATTTTCCCAGAGACAGGTTAAGAACTAAAGCCCAGACTGTGGACAGTTTAAAATCCTGATCCAAAGCTGTGCTGTGGCACAACTCCTGAACACCAGCACTTTTTCCGCTCAATTCAAACAGCCTCTACTGCTCAAGGGAGCTGTGCACTTACAGCTAGAAAGGCAGCAATAGTTACCATCCCTTCGTATCACCAGAACAAGACAAGGTACAGTGAAATCAACATTAAAATGTGTCATCTATCACAGGGTTGGGCAATAAAACAGGAGCGATTCACCAGGATTAGCCTGCAGTGGGCCACTGTTGCTGTATTTACCTGCCCTTCTACAGGTACAGGTGATCACAGATCCTATTGGCTGGGAACAGCGATCCACGGCCAGCGGGAGCTGCGATCCCCCCTACCTGCAGAAGCACAGGTGAATACAGCGGTGTGGGGGCCCTCCGAGTATCTGCCCACCCCGATATACAATTTACTCGGATTCAGAAATTAGAGTGCTTGGGAACATTTTTAATTTATAAAGTGCGCCCAGTACAGAGCAGTTCTGAGGACATGAAGAGTTTAAAAACAACACACTGAAAAATAAACGAATAAATAAATAATCCCAAATGCCTTATGAAGGTCAGCCAATTTGGGCTTGCTGAGAGCAACTGGGGGAGTAGATGGAGGAGGAATGAGAAACCTACAGTCAAGCACATCCATGTCCCCAGGCATTTAAAGGAAGGATCTGACTGCTCAAGGAGTCAGACCCATAGTGACCTCATCTACTATTACTGAGCATAAGGAAGGAGAGAATCTCAGGAAATTATGCACCGGAGATTTTTAGATCAATAGGACTATGGCACACATACAGTTTTAGGAATCACCATGAATTGCATCCAGCTAAAAGCAAAAGTGTCATATTCACACTAGGGATATAAATTACTAGTTGACTATCCAATAAGCAAAAGCTCATCGGCTTCATGAGGCATAAGGGAGCAGTCGACAAAGGCTTCCCTTGTCGACCGATCTGCGTCTTGACTTGCGCGCTATGCCAACGATCAGCTGAGCCGGCACAGCACGGCGGCCATTTTTATTTTAATGAAGTTGGGCATGTAATCTAGACGTAACCTATGAGAGGCAGCAAGGGGAAAAGGGGAAAACACAGGAGCTGGTGCTGTGGGGAGCCGGCTTAAAAGCCGATTCATCCCAGCACCATCTCCGGAGGGCAGGGGAGGCAGAGGCTAGTGGGGGACTGGGTGCGAGCTGGGAATCAGCTGTCCCGGCTCGCTCCCGAGCCCCCCGCTGTGCTTCTGCCTTTTAAATGTATTAAGGCCCTGCCAGCACTTAATACATTTGAAAGACAGAGCCACAGCAGCGTTAGCTCCCAGGGAGCTAACGCCACTGCGGCTCTGCAGTTCTCCCCTCCCTATTGACCAATTGAGTAGTTGATGGAAATTCCATTGACTACTCGATTAGCTGATTATACGCAATTTACATCCCTAATTCACGCTGCGGCCAAAGTTGCCACATAGGTCAGTAGCTACATTGGGCATATCCGCTGAAGTTGTGAAGCTCTGAACTAAGAGCATTGCAGCTGAAATGGGCTAGCTCTGGCAACGTCCCCATATGCACAGTGAGAAGAAACAGGTCATATACACACTTGAACAGAACCCCACTAAAGCCAGCACTGCATGTGAGCCCTCAAGGCCATTGCTCCAATTGCACCAAATGCCATTGCTCCAAAACACCTCCTGGGAGAGGAAAACTAGAAGCCCTCAAGTGTGGTACCAGTCAGGGCTTTCAGGCAGGGGAGTATCATATGGGTGGTCGGAGAGCTAAAAGAATCATGATGAACACCCGCCCTTTGTCCATCACTAGGCAAGGCGTGTTCACCGGCGAGGTTACAGTAGTGTCAACTGCATGTCACACCAAAAGCCAGACCAAAAGAGATCAATTAAGTCCAAGTGATGCTAGTGAGATTCCTAAATGGCAGCAGGGGCCTCACCACCACTCCAGACCTGGAAGGCATTATTCTCAGTAACAGACCTGGAACCTGTTTGATATTACTATTGCATGTGTTCATCTTCTGGGTCTCTGTCCGGAAGCTCTTCCAGTGCATTTAGTACCCTGATGAGCTTTGAGGTGAGAGTACTTAGATACTAAAGAAAAACCCTAAATAGATATGCACAAATCACACTTTATTATAAGTCCCTGGATCAACAGCAAGTTGGAACTAAATTTTGCAGCAAAGCAGCTTCAGTAACATTGGTACTGTTTAGGTTTAATGAATGGAATGGAGGTTTAATTGAATGGAACTTAATAGAATAGATAAGTCTGAACCACATCTCCCCTATTATTAGATATTAAGCTCAAATGGATACCATCTCCAGGTGTTTAATTTTCACCACACTGTAGATTTTTGCATAGAAAACAGAGAAGAGTATCAGAGAACATGCCAAGGGAAAATGGGGTCCTGGATGGCTGGGGATTTTGGTACCCAGTAAGATGCAGGAAAAGGTCTGGGATTAGGATATCACACACTGCCTTGGCATTTCTGCCAAGATGATCAGCTGAGGCCTCTGACTGCATGTGCCCAAACAGGAGACGCATTGAGTCTGATTTTTAACACACAGCTCCACTTGCACTCAATTGGAGATGGCACTGCTCAACAACTCTAAAAGATCAACCCGAAGGTGGCTCAAACTTAGCATCCAGACACTGATGCATGGAATTCAGCGAACACGTTTACAAAAACTCCTGCACACAAATGTGTAAAGCCCTTTTAGTGACCAAACCCAAGTATGTGACTTAAACTGACAATGTCACTTTCACATAAATAAAATCTCCCAAAGGCAACCACCCAAACACAGCCTAGCATCCCCCTCACCTGCACATCTAATACAGCTATTAAATTTATGCTCAGTCAGTTAACTCCAGTCCCTCTGCTGTTACTTGTGGTGGAAGTGCAAATGCAGACCAGACAGGGTCTCTTTCACCAGTGGGACCTATCTAGCCTTTTGGTAAGCAAATCATTACACAGATAAGGCCTATTAACTACAAGGGATTAAAAGAACAACACACACTTGACACATATTTGGGACCAAATTCTCCAGCTCTACTGCAGGGGTAAGGAACCCAAGGCCTGGGGCCGGATGCAGCCCCCTGCTTGCCTGGATCCGGCCCTTGAGGTTCAGGGTCCCCTCTCAGCTTTGGGGACCCCAGGTTGGTGCCCCAGTCTCCCCCCATAACTCCTCGCACACCCTACTATGGGGTGGAGCACACAAAATCTACTAGGCTGGGCTCCCCTAGGCTCTGGTGTGTGAAGGGAATGTGGGGAGCGTCTTTCTGCTTCTCAGTCAGGGGCTTCTGCAGCCCCTGACTGACTGTTCTGGGGGTCAGCGGTCCCTGATTCAAAAAAGGTTCCCCACCCCTGCTCTACCGGAACCAATGGATGTTTTGCCATTGACTTTAAAAACAGCATGTAGTCCTATGGCACCTTAGAGACTAATAAAAATATATATAGAATCATGGGCTTTCGTGGGCAAAACCCACTTCATCAACTGACGATGATATATATTTGTGTTAGTCTCCAAGGTGCCATAGGACTACTCATTTTTAAACACAGAAAAGCACTCTGAATTTAACATTAAGATTTATCTGACATGACTAACACCTCCAAATCCTTAATATATGACACACTGAGTGGTAACTGAGTTTACACCAGTGGGTTTTTTTTGTATTTTTTTTAAAAAAAAAAGGTGCTGGTACTCCAGGGGAAAAGTTGTTTAGCTCTGACTGGAGGTGCTCCCATTGCATCTGGGGGTGCCAGTACTGTGTACCGGGCAGTACCCTCACAAAAAAAGCACTGGTTTACACTAACTCACACTTTCCTTTTGATAAATAAATAGCAATAGAAAACAGTGAGGAAAAGGATCATAAAAATAAGCAGGTTCAGTATCTTCTCCCACCGCACTGCCACACCTTTTCAGATGGGAACCAAAACTTAGTTCCCTCTTTCCCCTGCAATAGGGAGGTCTGTGATAAGAGTCACCCACCACCCACATACAGCAGACACAGAGTCCCAGTGTGTTTCAACTGTGGCACGTTAATTCACCACACCCGCCTACCAGTTTAGAAAGGAATTTACTCTTGAATTGTAACTGGAGCTGGGATCAAGACACGAGATTCACATCCAGTGAGCCAATGGCCCAGCATGCTAAGGCATTCAGATCTAGGGCAGTGGTTCTCAACCTGGGGCATGGGACAATGCAAAATTCATCCTGAGGGTACATCAACTCACATAAATATTTGCGTAGTTTTACAATAGGCTACATAAAAAGCACTAGCAAAGGCCAGTCATTAAAATTTCACACAATGACTTTATATTGTTCTATATACTACACCCTGAAATGTAAACACAATATTTATATTCCAAGTGATTTATTTTATCAAAAGGTAAAAATGAGAAAGGAATAGGGATGTGAAAGGTTAATGAGTGGTTCTTCCCCGTTATGGTTCACCAGTGGGGCCTGGAGCAGCCTCCACTTGCCACAGACAAGGCCCCACTGCGGGTAGAGGGCACACCATCGAGGTCAGAGCAGCCCCTACACCCACCTGTTTAATCGGTAACCAGTTAAACAATGTTTTACCAGTTAACTAATTAAATGGGATTTTACATCCTAGAAAGGAAGCATTTCTCAATAACAATAGGATGTGATGCTTTTGTATTTTTATGTCTGGATTTGTAAGCATGTTTTTTTTTTTTTATTAACTACATAAAACTAGGGGGTATGCAAAAAA